AAAATTAGGAAAATAGTGATAAAGGCAGGAAATTACAACATAAATAGCAAGAGAGGCAAGAAATTCCAAGAACTCAGCAAAGAATTAGAAATAAAAGAAAAACTATTTCAGAAATTGAAACCAAATTAGAATGAAAATAAGCATAAACCAACACAGAAGATGGAAAGGAAAACTTTTTAAACACAAATAAAGAGATGCAAAAGGATTTGGGAATATAACAAATATTGCAGATAGGCAAAGAATATCTAACATACAGAAAAAGGAGTCCCTAAAGAAGAAAACTGAGCAAAAGACCAGGACAGATACTAAAAGCTATATTCAAAAAAAGCCCTTCTGAAATAAAAAGAAGATCTGAATATACATATGAAAGAACATACCACAAGCTGAGAATATTATCTATGAAAGACCAATGCCAAGGCATGTTCTAGTCAAATTACTAGACATTAAAAAAGAAAAAAAAAAAAATCCTTTGGGTATCTAACAAAAAAAGAGTACTTGATTTTCAGAAAGAAATTTATAAGATTATGAGACTTTTCTACAGCAGTGATTTATGGCAAAAGAAACTGGAGTAACAACATATTTAAGTTACTCAAAATAAAGTATAAGCCAAAGATTTAATATCTAGTAAAATTCAGTTCCAATATAAAGCACACAAACTGTGATCAACAAGCAAGAACTGCGGGAATACTGGATCCATGCACTCTTCCTGAGGAACTAAGTCACAGATTTCAAAAACCAAAATGATTTACAAATCCACTGTCATCAAGTTGATTCTGACTCACAGCAACCCTATGTACCGCCCCACAGGGTTTACAAAGATGTGATCTTTAAGGGAGCAGACTGCCATATCTTTCCCCGGCGGAGCAAATGGTGGGTTCGAACTGCAGACCTCTCAGCAGCCGAGCACTTAACCAGTGCACCACCGGGACTTCTTAAAATGACTTCTAAGACATCTATATAAGGACTTGTGGAGATCATGAAATATACAGGCACTTGTAGAACTAAGGATAGATAATGGCTAAGAAGGACAGGCATACGCATTGTGC